TCTGCCTTTGCTCACTGCAGCCTTACAGCTAAGTGAAGACGGGGCGGGAGGGAGAAAGCTTGCACACTGGTATTTGGTTGATTGTACTTTATAAAAGTTTTTGACCTTCAAGTTGTGTGGAGGGCATAGTTTCCATGTAGATTTACTTTTCCCGTCTTATCGTATTGTGTATTTTGGGAGAAAATATTAGAAGGCAGGTAACTAGGCTATCACCATTGTCCTCAGCTCCCTGGAAGTCTCTTGGTGGAATTTTTAAAGATGTTCTTCATAAAAGGATACTGGCTTAAATTCCAAAAATGGGGAGAAGGAGGACAGGAGGGGGAGAGGGAGAAAGAGAGGGAGAAGGGAGAGAAGAAGAGGAGGGAGAGGAAGAAGAACAACAACAATTACTGACAGTAAGGAACATACTCAATTAAACAAAGTTAACATACTTACTTGAGCTGCCATTTGTGATTATAGAACCTGTGCTTAGAATGTTTACATGCATCATCATTTAATTTTATCTTCACAAAACTCTAAGAGGTAAGCTTTGTTAATATCCTCATCTTACAGCTGAGAAAACTGAGGGTCAGAAGATTAAACAAGTTCTCTAAAGTCACCCAGGCAGTAAGAGGGTTCAAACCCAGGCATTGTGGACCAGGAGGCATGGCGCCTCACCTCTAGGTGACTTTGCTGTGGGTCAGTGCTAGGTGGAATGATAAAATACTACATAACTTATGAGGCTAAATTCTTTAAACAAATGTCCAAAAGTAAGCTCCCTCAAAGGAAAGCCAGATTTGTTAGATATCAATCGATTTTCTCATCACTTCTCCTCAGACTTTGGCCCACTCTGCTTCTGACATCTTCAGGTTTGTGGAATAGTGAATAACCGTCAAAGAAAATCCACTTGCTAAATATGAAAGGCCATATAGTTTTAATCTTTCATTAAAAATTTAAAAGGAAAAGATAACTTTGTTGTAGGATATGTTAAGTTTGATGAATTTACTATCGCTAATTATTTTCCTAAGTAAACGATTAATCTTAATATGATATTTCATATTATTTTTTAACACACTGCAGGACGAAGAGGAACCGCTCAATGATAAAGACGACGAGGACTTCCTGTTGGGCTTAGATCATACGGCTGAAGATTTTGTGGCAGTCAGACCTGCAGATTATGAAAGCGTCCAGGTTCGGATGCAGATGGAAAAAGAAATCCTGTTCATACCCAGTAGTCTGACAGGTACTCGCTCTTTTTAATTGTCT